TAACCTGATAAAACTAATTAACTGTTTATCCTGAAAATAGTCCTTGATGGGTATTTTATGATTTCTCAGCTTACCTAACATACAACATGTAATTGTATGCTACTCAAAATAATGTGCTTTTTAAGAGTCAAAGCCAGGGTGTGAGAGGACTGTTATATCAAAGATCAGCTTCAGTCTGTGGCTTGGCCTTGAGACGTCTGGAAATCCAGCAGGAATGAGTATAGCTTTACACCTTCAGGGAAAAACCTTAAAACCAGATACTGTGTTTTAGGTCCAGCACAAATCATTACAAAATCATGACAGACGTTTATTATCTCTGCCTTAAAGTTGGTTTGAATAGGCCTTGGGAGGTTTTGTTTTTCTTAGTTTAAAAAGTTTAAATTGGCCATATTTGAAGAATAAACCCCATTTTGAAATATAACACTCTATGGAAGCAATGCTCTGCCTCCAACATATTCATTGCAGGTACTGAACATACAGCCCAACAATTTCTCATTTTAAAATTGACACACCAAGTGAAGCTATGGTTCACTCCACTTATGAGACATACTGTGAAAAATAGTGCCGGACAGTTGTAATAACTGTCCACCGTCAATGCAAGCATTAAACGTTCAAGCCTAGGGGGTAAATGCATGTACTGTAGAGTATAAGCTCTGCAGCAGCAGTAGTTTGCCTTTCAAAGTATTCTCTGTTTGTACTTCCTGATATGAAAGAGCCACTGACTCGTGTAATAACTCCTTTGGTTTCCTTCACACTGTTTTACCAATGGTTTGCATTTTTCACAGCCCAGGAACCTTTTCCAATAATCTTAATCATGAATATTCTATATGCAGAAATACAGGAGGGTTTGGTGGAAAATAAGACATGCTGATATTCCAGTGTTTTCAATCAAAGGCTTAGTTCTGCAAAGCACTATCGCATAAATAGCTTTCCCCTTTGCCTAGACAAGTTACTTCTTTCTGCGGGAATATATAACAAAAGTCGGAGCTGCCACGGGTAGATTTTCGATAAAACAGAACAAATCTTCTGAAATTCCCTCAAAATATGGTATGACAGACTTCTCAATCCTTCTCAGTACTATCCCTGGGGTTACTGGCGAGGTACGATTGACAGGATCCGAGTCATGCCTCATTGAATCGATTGGTTTCCAACACATAGCTACTTTATACTAGACCTACAGGGAAGCTACACCATTTTCTGGCTGAGAGATGGAGCGATGTGTGGGGCCCAACCATGTGTTATGTGTACAATATGAACACAGGAACATTGGGGAATCAGCAGAGGTCTGGTAGAAAGACTTCAATGTACTGTACACACTTTTCTTCTCTCTCTCCACGCTCGATTTAAGATCAGCCACCTGCTTGCAGCGCTGAAACCTCTAGAGATGTTTTAATACGTTGAGACACATATCTCTTAATCAATGGATTAACACGTCTATATTCACAAGGTTTTAGACCATGTTAATTATCCCTTTCATGATTTAATGGCGCAGATTATGTATAGATAAGGTTGTTAAACTAAGTATTGAAATAAGTACGTTAATAAGTGTACACAAAAAAATTATCTCGGAACGGATTTTTTGGGGGACTAGGACTTATTTAAGTTGACTAGCACAACTTCATGAAGCATGTCCTACCCCAGTGAATCTGATTAGAAATGGGGTACCTGTGTTCATGCACAAAGGACCCCTTCTCAGGTGATTTGTGGCCATTATGTACATGTGAGCTATAAGTAGATGAGACTGGAGGTCAGCTCTCTATAGCTTTGGTATAATTGATGGCTCTCCCACATTGCCCCTTAAAAGAATAATAATAAATGAGTGTGCTAATCCTTAACCACTGTCCAACAACTGTCCAATTGTATTTTCAGTTTCTTTCTCGATAGACCTCTTTTAGTAAAGGACTGACGCTTCAACATCATGCAGGGTGTGTATTTCCCTTTGAAGGTTAGAGGGAGCAAACCACAGAGGACCACAGGGCGCTACTGTTACCATTATTCATACAATTACAAATTGTACCATATTATTTCAATGTGCGGTAGTTGTCTGTTTTGTAGAGGTATCCTGATTTCAGTTGGGTTTTTCTGAAAACAAATCCTATAATATCGTTAGAGAGGAAGTAAGCCTCACCGCAAAGATAAGAGGCCATGCAGAAATCTGTCAACTACATCTGAATATGAGACGATCCGGGCCACAGGCCAAACACAAGGGTGAGAGCAGGAACAACCGCTCTGCTGGGGATCGGAACAAAGTACACCCATGCACCTCTTCATGCTCAACCATATACGTTTACATATGGAAGTTTGTTCTCAGACAGGCTAAGCATAGAGGACAAACAGCCTTGTTTTAGTGTAGGCTTTGACACAAATCAGAGGTTCACGTTATAAATGTTTAAGGAAATAGGAAAAGTGCACCAAAAATACTGGAGCATATGTAGTCAACAAATGACTCAGAAGTAGATTTCTAAAAGTGTATTTATTAGGTCTTATTACATGGCTTAGTTATAGAATAATCGATTCTGATTGGTCAATTCAGAACACGTGACACGTTGTCAATCCAGAACAGACAGACTGCTGTCAAGGACTTATTTATCGTTGTTAAGGACGCTCAAATCTGCAGAAAGAAGTTTCGTCTATTTAACTGCATGCAGTTTGCTTTTCAAACCGACAAGACAAGAGGGACAAGAAAACAGCGGAGAAGTAACGAGGCAGAAACCTACGGTGGCCCTGTAGTGCAAGTCAAAACAGCATTTCCGAAAACACCACAGCATTTTAGGAAACACCACAGCATTTTAGGAAACAACACAGCATTTCACAAAACACCACATCATTTCACAAAACACCACAGCATTTCAGGAAACGCTACAGCATTTCACAAAACGCTATCGAAGCAGTTCCTGCCGTTGCTACGTAGTTCAAACAGTAACAACGGACTATTTTTCTTAGCGGATGCATGTCATTTAAAAATAAATAATAGCCTACTATTTTTTTAAATCAATAAAAATGTTTTCTAAATCTATAAAAGCATTTCAATTAACATTGGGAGTCATATCGTTACTTTGTTGAGAATGTGGCCGTGTAATAAGCGGGATAATGTGCAGCGACTTAGCTGTTCAAGATCATTGAACAGCTTCGCATCGGGCTCCTGATCTGCCTGTCGGGTGTTCTTTTCCCCATAATGACCGCCTCGCTGCACATTATCCCTTACTTGAAGGATCACTTCTTGCCACTACAAGCTTTTCATCTGGGTATTGTATTTGGTCAAATGGAGTCAACAAATGAGTCGGAAGTAGATTTCTAAAAGTGCACTTATTAGGTCTTGAATAATCACTTGTTGCCTCTAAACGCTTTTAATGTGGGTATTCCTCCATAGAAGAGACTACTGTGTATCTCATAGATGATGACTGATGTGAGCCATTCTTGTATCTCTTGTAACACAGCTCATAATGGACACTGTGACAGAGGGCATTTGTTTTTCTGATGAGTATAAAGTGAACAACAACTTTCATGTACCAATTAATCAGGGAACTTTGCAGAGGACGCTGGCTCTCTTTCTTTTGCACATGAACAATGCACTCACTGTCTTACATGGTTGACCAGTCCTCGGCGGTAGTTTTGAGACACAATACAACGCACCAAATGACCTTGTTTGTTTTTGTCTCTCTAAAGCATCATGCAATCAATAGTTCTTTTTTTGTGAACCATTCAGTTGTCCTTGGGAAACATTGTAATCTTGTTAAGGACACATTTGCTCAGCTTTCCTAAAAAGCCAAATCTTGTTTTGTATTAATTAATTTCATCCCTGTGGACCATTTTGCCTATTGTTGACCAGCAGTTAGGTGTCTTCTCACGGTGAACCAAAGTAAGGAGTTGAGATCATTAGTACTTTTGTAAGGATTTCATTTGAGCACTTTGGCCCCAGGGACACATCTGCACATGAGGAAGCAGATAAAAGAGATTACACGTTTCAGAGCAAGCTGATAAAAAGTCTTCTCAAGGGCCGTTGTGTTTCTCCTTTATTAACGCTGCTCAGAGGTTAAATTAGAGTTTATTATGAGGATAGGTGGGAGGGGGTTTTATTTCAGATTTGCAGCATAGTTAGGCCATGTCGGTGACCTCATTTGAATTCAAAAAAACATTTCCACTGGGTCTTTTCTTTCAAAGAGGAAGGACTGTTTCTGTTTTTCTCACCAATGAGCATTCTCAATTCTCAACATAGCAGTTACATTGTTTATTCTGAATATCAGAGAGAACTGCTTGTTTACAGGCAGTTTAATATCATGACTTAAATGTACCGAATAATATTGTAAGTGTAAAAAACAATGTCTGCTGGGATGTACCTCTTCCTGATAACTTTCAGAATGCAATAGGCCAACGCTGACCCTGAAATAACCCACGACTCATATCTTCGCAGATTTTAGGATATAAAATCAATATATATTTGACCTTTTACTTCAGAATACCACATTTTGCTTTCAGGATTATACTTAGTGTGTTGTCATGGTTATGCTGTTACATTCATTATGTCGAGTTGGATTATTCAAATCGTTATGTTTAACTTGCTAAGCCTAAAGTGGCTCATTTATGCATGGGTACCCAGAGACAGATTGCTATCCTTCCTCGGTCTGAACCTGTAATAAGCCTGCTGCGATAATCTATCAGAGACGTTTCTCAAACAAATTTGAAATCCAAATGATGGCAGTTCTCCAGTTCCCCTGCAGTAGTAGTGCTGTTGTGCTAATTTGTTGTGCTTGTGTGCCTTCTGATTACTGTGCAGCCTTGAGCACCTGAAATGTATTTGCTCTTGTTCATCCTCTTTTCTGTCCTTGCTAGCTCAACAGCTTTGATGTACTCAACGCCTCTCACAGCCATAAGAGCCCATTCTGACACATATTTTTGTAGTGTTAGGCATCCCCTTCTTTCTCCCTCTTTTCGTTTTAACACAGTTTCTTGCTCCATGTGGCTCTGGATATACTCAAAAATCTGCCTTTTGAATTTTTCAGAGACCCAGATCCCCCATGGCTTCCCCACTATCGATATGGGTCCCCAGCTGAAGGTGGTTGAGAAGACCAGAACTGCCACCATGCTGTGTGCCGCCAGCGGAAACCCAGACCCAGAGATAACCTGGTACAAGGACATGCTTCCTGTGGACATCAGCAGCAGCAACGGGCGCATTAAACAGCTTCGTTCAGGTAAAATCTGATCTGATCTGATCTCATTTCTTTATTGTGTTACTCTACATGACATACTGATAGTGTCACTATAGCAAAGTCAAGTAGCAGAATACCAAGTAGTGATGAATATCAACAGACCTGAAGATGATGTGAAAACACAAAAGTCCTTTGTTGTCTTGTATGACTTCATGTATTCTCTTTTATCACAAAGGACATGAAAATCTTATTCAGCCATTGTCACCTTGGTTAGTAAGAAGACTTCTAACAGAATTGTATTTCTCGACGCTGCAGCCACTTATAAAGTTACACAGAAGTTGGAATAAAGTTATTCTTGTGCAATCTTTGACAGTGATGCATGAGCTTGTAACATCCAAAGCACAGAAAGATATTTTTCACTATATTAAATAATCCTTAATCCCACTTTGAACAGGCAGCTGGGTGACAATGAGGCCAGCCATTTAAGCATTAGCTAGGATTCAACTTTACAAAAAATACAACTGCTTTGAGTTGTCCACAGTCGCAGTCCACTTGATGAAGTGACTGCGCTCGCCTGACCTGGATCAGATGGAAAAGGTGGATAGATTAGTGGCTTTTGACCTGATTCAGTCGTGTGACTCCTTTGTAAATCTACCTCACTTACAGAGTGTAAGGCCAGGCTACAGTTCTGAGGCCCCAAAGATTAGAGATGAGAGCTACTCCAGAAAAAGCCTGGCACTACAGCTGCCAAGTGGAAGTTGAATACAGGTCACTGGAGCATGTTCCCTTGCACTGCCCATGTTCTCGCAGTATTAAAACGCTGCCCTACCAAACACACATCCCCAATTAAATACAGATGGCTCGCTAATTTAATAATAACACAACTACTTAATTGTTTGATCGTGTTTTTTAAAACAATGATAAACTGTGCCTTAAACCATGATATGTTATATATATATTTCTAGCTACAAACTTTTAATTAGTTTTCTTTCTCGCAAATAGTGAGTGCCTGAAAAACTGCTGATATGTAATGCCCCCAGACAGACAATTCTTTCTCTCCACAACCCTTTTTTGACATCTGGTGCCGTTTCATGATTAACAATACGGCATATGGCCTAAAAGGGGGCGAATTCTGTAATTGTCAAAAAAAAGGTGCATTCATTTGCTGCAGTTAAACAGAAAAGCTGAGCCAGTTGCTCCTATTATACCACGAGAAGTTAGTCAGCACACAGGAACATTAGCTCTTTCTTTCCACACCATCTAAGTCATTCACTTTGTTGAAATACTAATCTATTTTCAATTTAATACCTCTGACCTGAATACGTTTTGCTGTGCATCTTTCTATTTACTGTGTATGACTTTCATTCATTTCTCTTGCCCATTTTACTAACGACTTTCTGCAAAAATGCATTCTGTACACAGAGTAAGGCCATCTTAAATTAGAAAGATTTGTATAAAAATGCTTTAATTTAATGTAATTGTAATGCTACTATGAAGTACACATGTGGCTGTAGCTGTTGTCTGTAAATGCAAAAGTAGCAGCAATATATTATAAAATGTTTTGCTGCTGTGATTTTTCTTGGTCCTTTACAGAAAACACGTACAGTCGAAAAAATATATTTCTTTCATAGCATTGATTAAGTGCACTTGTCACATTACATTTAAGTGGCTTCTACTCTGCATCAGTTTTTATTTTCCTTTTTATATGTGGCTTGTCAGAAGCCATGTTTTTCTCTCCCGCTTATATAAGTGGATTTCTTACTAATCTCTCAACCCTTTTTGCATTGAAATTACTCCCACCTAGGTGGTACACCAATTAGAGGTAAGGATGACGAAGTGTGTTGGAAACTATCACGTCCACACCATTCCCTCACATCCACATCAGACCCCTGCATTCCCCCCCAAACGCCACATCACCAGGTTCATTCACGCTGTTCAGCGCCTACACACCCTCTTCCCCATTCGTCTCCTCCCGACATCCTGTCTGCTGTCTGCTCGCTAACAAACAAATGATCACCAACCCTCATGTCAGGGTAATGCAATAGCAAGTCCAAGGTGTTATCTTTTAAATGAGCTTTTCTAAAGCCCCTCCTACACTGTTAGAAATAAACCTTATTTATGAACAATTCACACGCATTCACATCTTTGTGCATCAGCTTCTCGTCTGGCTTTTGAGCGAAAGAGGCGAGGAGTTGCATTTTAAACTAAAGGCCAATGTGGCCACAAGAGGATCTATCTGCCTCCTATCTTAGCATCAATGTATACTGAAGCGGCTTCATTTGCATACAGCACATACAGCATTGCCTCCAAGCGAGATCGTTAAGGTGGAAGCTTCAGCCCCTTTTTATGGTAATCATGAAAGCATGATTTCCTTCCACAACATGGACGTAAATAGTGGACGCTTGGGACCAGCTGTCTGTCTCACTGTCCATGAGTCCTTGGCCCCTAATCAAGCCCATATTCCTATGTTTAACTCTTTGAGGTGGCTATATGACAGCCTCTGTTCCCCTTGACTTATTCTGCCACTGAAATTAGATTGTAGAAGATCCATTGTTTAAGAAGTTGAAAGTAATTTAAAGCAGTTTTGCATTGCAGCTCTGACAACTGCCATGGCAGTAACCTTGTACATTTCTGAAGTACTCACACTGTTTTCTCCCATGGGAAGGGGCAGATTGACAGATTGGTGACACCAGCATTAGTATGCAGGTGCATGTCATTGCTGAATCAGACAGCGCTGAGCTCAGCGTGCAAAGCAAACACCTTGGAGAGATATGTTGTCATGAGATCTGAGGTGATGTTATCACATGTCTCTGCCCCGCCCTGTTTCACCTCTCTTTTTTGGTCTCGTCTTGATCCGAGTCCCCTTTGGTTGGTGATGAACCTGTTTGTTGTATTCATCTCATACTGCATGATTTGAAAAAAATGTATCCTGACATCATCGAGTATTTTTGTCATTTTCAAACAGCATGGTGGCTGTCTGCTAGTGCCATGCTTGCTTTGAGACTTGATCAATGTTATCACTCACTTGTGACACACATATGTACTGCTGGGTGATGTTGTCTGGTTGTTAAACATGTGTTTTTTTAAATTGTGGGATTCAGGTAAGTTTTGCTGTTTTAGGTCTCTATTTGTATTTGTCAAATTAAAACTAAATCTAATAATAATGATATGATGGTTATAGACATGGTGTGTCAAAATGACCACACATAAACAAGTCTCCTGGGCGTTCATGCTTTGTCAGAAACAACATGTTAGCCTTCTGTCTGATGACAACGGCTTTTTGGGATTGTGAATACTAATCTAAGCCATCTGGCAGAGGAGCATCTCCCTTAAGGGCTTCGTTAAGACATGGTGAAACAGTTGCTGATGGAAAAAACACAATTATGACCTCAATGCTAAATACCTGATCAACAAAGAAAAGATACCTGCACCGCCTTTTCTTTGCGATTCCTAGGCCCTCAAGAAGAAAAAAACGTAATTAACAGTTTAGACATAAGTCACATTTACCTTTATATCAGTTTAGTTGGATATGGTTGCATTTTTTTTTCAACAATTAGGATATACAAACACATTATTTACCCTTAGCTGATCATCAGAATACTTAATCAGAGTAGAATTTCTCTTGAGGCCCATAAGTGGAAATGATGTCCTTTGGTTAAACTGTGTGACACACATATTGCACAGATGTTAGTATTAAGCAGTAGGCTGGTTAGTTGTATTGGATATTAACATCATATGTTATCTGCTTTTGTTGTGTTTATTTTTCAGTAGAGCCCTTTTCCTGGCTGAGATAGATTACTCAAACACTTTGGTTTGTCAATTATTTCCATAAGCAGGATGCCTAATGAGACTTTGACGGTTGTGACATGTTATTTAGATGATTAATTGACCTTCAGTCATGGTCCCTTTTTTTCTCCTTAACACGACGAGGGAAATATTCTGTTAGCAGGTTCGTTAAATACGTCAAATCAGCTAAATGTCAATGTTGTGGTAAACGATTTCTTGACAAAACTGCGTCTATGTAAGGGCTCTAAATGATGCATGAACTGGGTTAGGCTAGTTGACTACAGGCTCTCTAGCGAGTCACTGTACAGATATCTGCTGTGGTTTCATGCCAAATGACATCTCACATTCCACAACTGTCAAGACGGCTAAATGTGTTAATCCTCTACGCAGGAGCTCTGCAAATCGAGATCAGCGAGGAGTCCGACCAAGGAAAATATGAATGTGTTGCCTTGAACAGCGCTGGGACCCGTTACTCATCTCCTGCCAATCTCTACGTACGAGGTAAAGTCAAGTTGTCTCTCTCAATTCTTGAATTCTCTTCACAACCTGTCATTTCTGTTGTTTCAAACCCCAAACAGCCTTGCAACAAACATCCCGTCTGCTTTGTCCTTAATGTTCATGCCTTTAGTCAATGTGCTTTCAAAGGTACTGCCTTCACTTATTGTGTATGATAATAACTCTTCTCAGGAGTGTGTTGAAGTGTGCAAGCTGTGTTTGATTGACATCTTTCCCACCCTCCTATCAGCATTGTTGCACCTGGGACAAACAACATCTTTGTAATTCTTATTGGTGCGTGGAGTAACTCAGCATGGCTCTGCCCGCCTTTAAACCTGAACAGAGCTCTAATTAGCCGAGACTCGAAAACACCTGTTAAAACACAGTGCCTTTGACAGTTGTGTAATTT